GGAAATATCTTACCAAATTTCTTCTCTCCTTCCTACTTCCCTGTCAACCCCCAAAAGATGGAAAGCTACCTGAAGAAAGGCATCTTGTTTGCCTCCTACATCACTCTTCCTCTAGCACTTGGGTAATGCCTGGACCATAACAGCTGTTCCATAAAATACTTATTACATGAACTAATGAGAACCTTAGGGAGTAGAGGGGTTTTTTTTGTTTTGTTTTGTTTTTAAAGATTCATTTATTTTATTTGAGTGAGCAAGTGAGAGTGAGTGGGGGGAGGGGTAGAGGGAGAGAGAGTCTCAAGCAGACTCCATGCTGAGCACAGAGACTGATGTGGGCCAGATCTCAGGACCCTGAGATCATGACCTGAGCCAAAATCAAGAGTCAGATGCTGAATTTTCTGAGCCACCCAGGCACCCCAGAGTTTTTTGTTTATTTATTTATTTTTTAAAGAATCCTGCTTCATGTAGGATGAGATTCAGGGAGATTAAGAAACTTGCCCAAAGTCACACAGCAAGTGAATGGAAAAACTATCTTATCCTCAGAGTCTTTTTCAATTGGCAGGACTGCTGCTGGAGAGGAAGGTAGGTCACACTGAAGATGGACGGGTGTGCTAAGTGAAGAACCTGGTATTTATACTCATATTTACTGATGGAAGAGGCAGTGAGACAAAGCAAGAATGGACAGGAAGAAAGAAACCTATCTCTGGTCTTACTGCAACAACTCTCGGGAGTCAATTACAAAGGACTCCGGAAATTCCCTTCTGATCAAACAGGTGCTGCCAACGGCACAAAGTCAAAAGGGCGGCAGAATTCACACACTTATACCTCCAGCAGTATTAACACTGAAATTTACGGCCTCCCCAGACACAGACTTTTACATCATATTCAAGTTCTTGCGTAGTGGGTTATGTATCCAATTTTGGTAAATAAAGTCTTGTTTTCTTTCAGACCTTTTCAAATAAGTATCAGATCCCAATGATGTGGCATTACTGTACCAAGTGCTAAAGACAGCAATGAAGTAGTTAGTTGTGGTCCCTGCTCCTATGAGCTAACTTTTTTTTTTTTTTTAAGGGAGACACAAAACTCCCAAATATGTAGGATACGTGTTATCAAGGAAATAAGCAAGGTGATGAGTTGTAGAATGCAGGTGGTTTCAAAAATAGGGCTGTCAGTAAAGGGCTCCATGAACAAGTGATGTTTGCTTTTTCTGCACTCGTTCATTCAGCAGATACTGAGCACTTACTAAATGTTTGTTTTAGAACCTGAAAAAACAGTAGTAATGAGGGAGGTGAGGGAGGGAGCCTTGCATATACCTAGGGGAAGACCATTAAGATAAGGCACAGCAAAGGCAGAGGTCTAGAGATGGGAGAATATTTGAGGGATGTGGAAAAATCAGCCTATTTGAGGGATGTGGAAAAATGTAAGTGTGATCAAGAGAGTGGCAAAAAGAGGAGGTCATAGAAGCAACTGAGGCCAGATTGTGGAGGGTCTTTGAGGTCCTGTAAAGACCAGTGAGATGGGTGGTCTTTGGAAGGCTGCGAGGGAGCAGGGACCATTCAGACTGTAACACGCGCCCTCTGGCGGCAGTGTGAAGAACATTTATGAGTGAAGCAGGAGAGGAAGAAGAGTTTTGCAGGCGAGAGTGGCAAGTACAAAGATCCAGAGACTGGAGAACTCTTGCACTTTCCAGAAACAGAAAGAAACCTAGTGTGACCACAGAACTAGGGATCAAGGCAGAGAGTGGCAGGAGACGAGCATGTGGGAGCCCAGTCAGACAGGGCATCTGGATTTCATGCTGAATATAAGGAAAGCCACAGATACAAGGATCTTTTTATAAAACCAGCATATGCCTTAGGCCAAGCCTCACTTTCAAATGCTTTTCTTTGCTCAGTTGGCCTGAGCCAAGAGTGGGACAGCAAAATGTAGTTTATAAGCCACTGACTACAAAAATGCCATAATTTTTAAAAAGCGTGCCAATAGAGTCATATTTACTCAACACACAACCTCATGTGTATTTAATGACAGATCCAGTGATTACAGTGCTAAAGTCCTTCAAGGAAAAAGAAATAGAATGCTACCATTCTAGCTCCAAGAGGGTTTTTGTAGTTGGCTGCCTTATCATACTCTCATTACCAATAAATTGCCTCATTTCTCCAAGACTAGTCATAATGGAAACGTATATTTTCTGTAATTCAGGAGAAAGTGATCTAAGGTCCAAGTAGAAACATTTTTAAGAAATTAGATAAAAAGTTGAGGATTTTCAGCTTCCGGACATGCCCCTTCTCCTCCTTTTCAATCTACAAGTACCCATGAATGAACAAGGGTCCATTCCACAGCTTTCAGGGAAAATGAGCAATACTTTATTCTGGCCGCAACATCTTTCGCATTAGAAAGCCTGGCTTGATATGCTCAAAGAGAGTTTATCTCCAATGGGTACACTGATGGGGTTCAAATGATTCCTTTTACCAAATATTAACAGCTAATCATGCAGCCAGCCGTAGCCACATGCTTGCTGACGCCAGTAATTGTCTGCTTGTAGGATTCAGTGCCTGAGGGAAGGCAGAAATGACACAGCTGGGCTTCACTGAGCTAGACACACAAGCTATGGGGTGACACATGGGTATTCAGAGCTGGAAGTTGATAGGGGAGATGTTCCACCAACTTCTATTTATCTCTATTCCTGGGACAAATCCTACTCAGTATCTTTGGGAATTTTATTTCTATAGCATGAATAGAAAAAAAAATGAAGCTGAGGATTTCGTGTCTGGGTTAATTTAATTTTAAAGCTGAGGAAGTAATGACTCATGTTTTAAATACACTTTGAAATATGAGTTTCTGATTTTTGCGAATCATTTGGAATTTCTCTCAAATCATATTGGAGAGGAGGAAATAAATCATGGTAGACATAATAATAAACTCCCAAAGATGTCCATGTCTTAATTCCTAGAATTTCTGAATGTTACCTTCCGTGGCAAAAGGGGCTTTGCAGATGTGATGAAGACTGAGGACACAGAGATGGGGAGATTATCCTGCATTACCTAGAGGGATTCAATCTAATCCATGAATCCCTAATAAATGGAGAAGTTTCCTGGTTGTGGTCAGAGGGAAATAGGACAACGGGAGCAGGGTCAGAGAGACACTGCACTGCTATCTTTGAAGACAGAGGAGAGAGCCATGAACCCCACAGTGCAGGCAGTCTGGAAAGGGCAAAGGGCTGAGTTTTCTCTAGAACCTCCAGAAAGGAACACAACCCTACTGACACTTGGATTTCAGCCCAGCCCAACTCGTACCAGACTTCCAACCTACAGAACTGCAAGATAATAAATTTGTGTTAAGTCCCTACCTGTGATAATCTGTTATGGCAGCAACAGAAAAAACTAATACATAAGGTTGCTAGTTGTGTTTGATACAAAAGGAAACCACTCATATTTTTTTTCATCGTTCTTTTCAAGTGATGTATTACCTTTTTAAAAACCTGCTAAATAATGATAGCTGATTATACTAACTGACTTTTCTGCAAATGGAAATGGGGATTAGGTGTAACATCAGGCTAATGAATGACTGAAGGACAAAAGGTCCTAAGGCTTTTAATCTTTTAATACTATGGTAAGCAGGATCAAAAGAGAGGAGATAGAAGTTTTCTCCTAGAAAATTAAGTAATTGGGCTACTAGAATTCGGGGATTTATTATGCTAAATACACATGCCTATTTCCTAATAAATTGCCATTTGTAACAGATTACTGAAGATTCCATTCCAACACAGCACACGCCCTACCTGCTCTTCTGCATCAAGTTCATTCCAGAATGTCTTTGGCGTAACACATACTACATTCAAGTAACTAAGGGAACTTAGAGCTTCGATATCGTCTGTGAACAATGATGAGTTGTCCCCTTCTTTTTTTCTGGGCTTCTACTTTCATTCAGAAGCTCCACTCTCAGCCCAATACCTCCATGTAAATTATCGCCCTGTGTTCAACCAGGGAGCACACATTCATCTCATCCCCTTTTGAATACTTCTTAAAAAGAGATGCACTAAAATAAATGCATGTGGTGTTTCAGAGAAAAAATGCAAGTGAATAGAATCCTTTTACAAACAAAGTAATCAGATGTGAGCATCTGCTCTAACTACTTACTTATAAACACGAGTGGGGAGAATCACTTAAGTATCAACAATAAATTCAGTTCAAAAAATGTATTGAGTGCTTACTAGGGGAAAGGCTGTATTAACATCCTGGCATATTGATGCGGCGTTAGACTTTGTCTTTCTTACTACTAGAGATGCTATGAAGCAGCTATGGACTAGAACATTCTTTTGTTTTGTCATGACCTCAACCATCAAATAAAGTACACTGTCAGGATGAAATCTTCTGTGCCCTCACATTTTTTCCCCCTATATGCCTGGCTAGGTTTTATGTTTTATGTGTGTGTGTGTGTGTGTGTGTGTGTGTGTGTGTGTGTAACAATTTAAGGTCAACAAGTTTACTTTTTTTTTCAAATAAACACCATGGCATAAGTCACTAATAAGTCATTAATATGAAAAAGTGATTTGTGTTTCACATACTAAGTTTTGTGGAACACTGGCAACCTACTAAAGTTTTTTCTTGGAAAACTGGCTTTGACAACGCTTTCCTTTTATTACTAGGAAGCATTCCCATTCCGTAGCCAAGAAACCAATTTGCATTTGTTTGTCAGGGATCTTCCTGAATTCACTGGGATACACAACCTCCCTTCCTCAAGCACCTTTCTTTGCCCCATTCCGCTAAAAGTGTTTTTATCCTGTGGCATGCCATTGGAACCCAGTTTGGAGAGCGCTGTTCTGGACCAAGTTTTCTTAATCTGGGCACCCTTTCTGGGCACCCTTGACATCTTGGGGCGGGTAGTTCTTTGTTGGGGGCAGGGCTGTCCTGGGTATCCCAGGATGCTTACCAGTGTCCCTGGATTCCATCCATTAGATGCCAGCACTGTCTGCAGACACTACCAAAGTCCTCTGGGGGCAAAATCACCCCCTGGTTGAGAATGGCCTTTCTAGAAGATCTGCTAAGTGACTGGAAAGACCATCTTTTGTGTACTTAATCGCAAATACTCTGGTTATGCATTTTTTACTTCCTTATTGCCATTTGCCCTATGCCCAGACGTCATCCACAATGCAGACTCCTTCTTGTCTGTCATTCTGCATCATTTTCAGTTCTTTAAACATTCATTTCACCTTTCACCTCCTGAGAAACACACTCTCTCCCAGTGGAAGTTCAAGCTGCTCAAGGCACCCCTCTGTAGGTCAGGAGCCTTTGAGCTACAACATTGAGCAACTCTTCTTAGATCTCAGTGCTGTCTAAAAATCTCCATCCTTGTCACCAAAGAGCTGCCTTTTCTCTCTGGTCCTTTGTGAAAAGTCATTGAGACCAAGGGTATGGACTCGAGAACAGAACTTGGTCCAGCAGGAATGTCACAAGCGTGTAGGCTAATTCATCTCAAAAAGTGTTTCCATTCTCAAATTCACCTTGAAGGATGGTGCAAGTGTGATTAGGAATGGGATCTCCTACCTGACAAATAATTTCTTTCATCTCTTCTAGTTTTACATTTTCAACCTGTCCTTGCCTTTTTGCATAGAATGCTTTTTATCCTTCCTTTATTTACATACCTGTGACTACCTCAAAAAACAATTTGTAACAAGAAGGGAGTTTGAAGTCTAGTTGAGTTTAAGAAATGTAAAAACTAGAAACAAGAGTCAACACTGTTTTGGTGTTTGGGGCCCTGGGGGTCTCCAGGATTTTGCTTTTTGTTTGTTTGTTTTTTGTTTTGTTTTTTTTGTGTGTTTTTGTTTTTACAGATTTGGTCTCTAATGCACACATAAAAACTGAAAACTGGCAAAACAGTATGACTGGTGTGCCTGTGAGGAAACTGAAGCTCACAGATGAGTGAAAGGCCAAAGGTCACAAAACTGGTAAATTTTGAAGAAAAGAAGAAAAAAAAATCAAACCAAACTATTGATTCACACTAGACTTTCACTGGAGCTTGCCTTGTTGTGTTGGGAAATTGGTTTCTCTCTAATTTGTATGAATCCTGATCTATGATATGACCTGAAAACCCATATTCTTTTTACCATACAATGGATAAAATAATTCAGGTATCAAACCTCACTCACCTTTGAATTACATATTTGACTTTAACCCCTTTTAGTCTCCAAGGGTTAGGCAGGCTCTGGGCTTTTCATTAGTACCAATGGCTCATCTGGGATTTGTTCATCCCAGGAGATTTTTCAAAGCACTTTAACAGACATTATTTCTGGTAAGGCAGAGAAGACAGAGGTGATTGCCCTGTTTGAGAGATGCAGACACTGAGCCACAGAAAGCTGTGACTTGCCCCGGTCAGCAGCTCTTCTGAGAGTGGTCCAGCAACAGGACCCAATTTGTCAGACAATAAACCCCAAATGTCTCCTTTACACCACATGGCTTCAGGTGAGGTCTTTGGAGCTGGACGAGTTCTACCACGACAGAGAGAAGGACGGATTATGAGGACATGTAAGAAAATAAAATATACTCAGACCAATGGATGATGGCTTTCTGGATCCTCACTTTGCAAAGAGAGTTGAAATTCTCCTAGTTATATGAAAGGAACTGTCCCCCTTTGATTCAGGAAATCCCTTCTATAGGATGTCTAAAATCACATTCATACATGGATCATGGATATTCACAATTTCAGAAGAGCAAAAGTTTCAGAAATCACCTATTTAAAATTAACACTCCTTTGCAAATTAGCAGCGCTAAAATCCTGCGAGTTTTTGTCCCCCGGCGATGACAGTATTTGCATATTTTAATCCCCATTTTGCAGATTCAGAAACTGAGGCTCAGAGAAGTGAGCTCAAGGGCACAAGTCTGTCAATGATGCAGCTTTGATCCTGAGAGAGCAGTCCAAAGATCATACGCTTTCCTTTGCTTGAAATCCTCTCAACCAGAAAGGGAAAATATGGTTTCCTCAAGGAGCAGAAAAATATCTTCCTATTTTAGACATTAATGAAATCTCTAAAAAGATAGATGGTATAAACACTATCATGCTAGTGAAAATTAAGCATTCGAAGAGGCAAAAAATTCAGAGTATGAAGATTGTGCCAAAGGAATCATTCAGTTACAACTCTTGGGTTATTTTAGGATAATCCAAGATTATCTTCAACCTATTTCTAAGTCATCTCACTTTAACATTTTAAAACCGAGGATGTAGGAGGGGTCAGTTTATAGTTAAGGACAAAGCTCTTAAAATAGTGAACTGATGGTCAAATTAAAGGAAGCAGGTTAGTGTGGTCCTAGTAGTGTTGGAAAATGTACAAAATTTGAATGAAGATGGCTTTATGTAAATTTCACTCACTTGAAAATAAAGGAAATATAAAAGACTTAAAATTGATTTCTTTTCCCCCAGACTTTTATATTACAGATACAGTAATGGTTTGCCTCAGAAAGTTGAGTTCATCCAGCTTTCAGATACTAGGACTTAGTCTCCATTTGGATTGCTAAGACTTAGATAAAACGGAACTTTCCACTTCACTTTTGTCAGTTTAACTAGAAGCCATTCAACTCATTTCATTAATGAAAAACATAAATAAAATACAATTTTTTAAGAAAAAAAAAAAAAGGAAAGAAGCAACTATCTGAGCTTCTTGACCTTGGCTCATTCTGCATTCCATTGATCTCCCTACCCAAAGGCCACAATCTGAAAGTTATGTAAATATTAACAATAGAAGTCAATGAGTGAAACTGCTGTTAATTTCAACTGACGTTAACCCATTGCTGATGAACACTTGTGTCTAGGTAATAAACTCTCAGATGAAAGGCAGGGGAGTGATGTATATTTCACAGACACGGCACAACAATGAGAACCGGGTGGTATTCAAGGAGATGAAAGCAGAAGTCGACAGACTAGCAGATTGCTGAAAAAGCATGAATGTTAAAGAGATATCTTGGGATCCTTCAAAATACAGTTTCCCAGTCATCATCAACCCTCAGGTGACTTGTTCTCAAGTCTTCATGACAGGAGTCACTGTTTTGACTACAAAGGACCTCTCCGTGTCCCCGTGTTCCCAGGCTGGGATTTGGGATGAATGGGAGACCATGTTCCTCAGTGGCCTTGAAGGGCTCCTAGCACACACTGGCAGCTGGCTGTGGGTGTGTACAGCGGCTGGAAGGATCAGACCTTCCCTCTAAGCTCCGCTTCTTTTGGTGTTATGACAGCAAGCCCAGTGTGCCTAATCATTAGACTTCCACTGTCCCTCTTAAAAGTCCCATTTGAAACATGTTCAGTAACTTCAGAGGGAATTAGAAAATTAAAAATTTCTCCAGTAATGGAAGCATTCTAAAATAACTGAATCCCCAAACTAAAGTGGATCCCTTATGTGTCACAAACAAATACTAGAATGTGGCAGGAATATATTCTGTATTTAGCAGCTTGCATGACCTATATAAAATGAGAACCCAAAAAGGGGAAGTTTTGACCTCACTACTATTTTATTTTATTTATTTATTTATTTATTTTTTACTACTTTGAATTGTTCTTCTCTGTCATTTTGACACCAAAGAGGATCTGACCCCATCATTTACTCTGGCTAAATGAGTACTGTATGGAAAGGTATAGCAAATTGATTGAGAAATTAAATTGGCTTAATCATATCATCCCTAGGAAGTATTCTCAGTAAGTATTCATCAATCTTTCTGTCAAAAATATCTATGTTCATAACCATAACTTCGAAACATCCTAGGGGTCAAAACACTGAAAATGACGTTTTAATTCTACTGCTTTAAATCCTTCAATGGCTCATTTTGGATTTAAATGGGTTGTCATGGCTCTCTAGCCCCTTCTCCACCTTGTCCTCCACAAGTAGCATGCGTTATCCATCTCCAGATGCAGACTTCTTGAAAAATCCTCAATTAAACAGGTGGTCAACACACACAGACACACACAGACACACACACACACAATATCATATATACATAGATACACACATACCATATGCACCATATATATGTACAATATGCACACTCACACCCACATTTTTTTTTCTTTGCTTGGACCTCTCATCCCAACTACATTAATGAACCCTTTGCTTTCTCCTAAGATATAATCTCCTTGGGGCCATACTGCCAAGCCAGCTATCTTCCTGGTATCATTTCCCTAGCCTCCCCCATCATTATCCATCTATTTTTATACAAATTCTCCGTAATATTAATTTTCTTGTCTCTTCCTTCCAGGACCATGAGATATTTGAGGTCAGGGGCTATCTTGGCATCCTTTAGATGCCTGTCACAACATCCTTACAGTGAGTATGAAGTAAGAACTCAAAGTCTAGCAACAATAAAGAGTATGCTATTTAGCGATCAGGAACAAGGGTAAAAAGTTTATAATTACATACATCACTACTGCAGGCCTTTTTGAGCTACCATTTGGAAGCCCCATTTACGTTGTGTTCCCAGGCCCACCCATGGGGGGTGGAGAACAGTGACAGGGTGTGGAGTGTAGGTCTCCCATGTAGGCTGTACAGGCAACCCCAGTGGCATGAACTCTGGGACAGCATCTAAACATGGAGGGTGGTGGGCAGAAGACAGGGAGAACAACCCACGCATCTTACGGGATTTGAACCGGCCGAAGTTTCCTTTGTCTGGCTATGAAATCCTAATAAGCGTATTCCCATTGTGTCACTTTGTTACACAAGCTACTCTCACTTGGCAATTCTTCAGGGCCTGCCCTGCAGTGGCTTGTTGGGCTGCACAGGGACAGATCTCAGAACCCTGAGCTCACAGGCTCAGGAAGCCCAACTCTGCCTGAAAGAAGAAAGGAAAGATTCAAAGGACTTGGTAATTCAGCTAGGAGACAATCCTCCTCTTGTTCATGTTTCCCCATTTTTTTCCACATGCTTAGCAGAGATCAGACCCGGAGATGCTCTTTCTCAACGTATGAAACAAAAGCAGAACAGGGCAGAGACAAGATCTGCGAGGAGTAATAAAGCCACTCCCCGATCCATGATATTTCATGCCTAGCAGCAG